CAGTTGGTCCAGTCCTAGGAGCGCCTACTGTTGTGTAATCGGTCATTCCTATTCGAGTAGTATCTCCTGGAAGGGATGTGGTTGTTTCAGAAGCCGATGTTGGTACAGTTGTTCCCCTAGAGATCGGTACTACAGTTGGTCCAGTCCTAGGAGCGCCTTCTGTTGTGTAATCGGTCATTCCCATTCGAGTAGTATCTCCTGGAAGGGATGTGGGTGTGTCAGAAACTGAAGATGGAAGGGTAGTTTCCCTAGAGATCGTTGCTACAGTTTGTACAGTCCTAGGAGCTCCTTCTGTTGTGTAATCGGTCATTTCCATTCTAGTTGTATCTCCTGGAAAGTATGTGGTTGTTTCAGAAGCAGATGTTGGCCCAGTTGTTTCCCCAGATATCAGTACTACAGTTGGTCCAGTCCTAGGCGCGCCTTCTGTTGTGTAATCGGTCATTCCCATTCCGGTAGTTTCTTGTGGAAGGGATGCGGTTGTTTCAGAAGCAGAGGTTGGCATTGTTGTTTCCTTTGAGATCGCTACTACAGTTGGTACAGTCCTAGGAGCTCCTTCTGTTGTGTAATCGGTCTTTCCTATTCGAATAGAATCTCCTGGAAGGGATGTGGTTGTTTCAGAAGCCGATGTTGGATTAGTTGTTTCCCTAGAGATCGGTACTACAGTTGGTCCAGTCCTAGGCGCTCCTTCTGTTGTGTAATCGGTCATTCCCATTCCGGTAGTTTCTTGTGGAAGGGATGCGGTTGTTTCAGAAGCAGAGGTTGGCATGGTTGTTTCCTTTGAGATCGGTACTACAGTTGGTACAGTCTTAGGAGCTCCTTCTTTTGTGTAATCGGTCATTCCCATTCGAGTAGTATCTCCTGGAAGGGATGTGGGTGTGTCAGAAACTGAAGATGGAAGGGTAGTTTCCCTAAAGATCGGTACTAGAGTTGGTACAGTCCTAGGAGCTCCTTCTGTTGTGTAATCGGTCATTCCCATTCGAGTAGTATCTCCTGGAAGGGATGTGGGTGTGTTAGAAACTGAAGATGGAAGGGTAGTTTCCCTAGAGATCGGTACTACAGTTTGTACAGTCCTAGGAGATCCTTCTGTAGTGTAATCGGTCATTCCCATTCGGGTAGTATCTCTTGGAAGGGATGTGGTTGTTTCAGAATCCGATGTTGGCACGGTTGTTTCCCTGGAGAGGGGCTTAAGCGAGGATCTTTCGATTGGAACTACAGTTGGTACAGTCCCCGGCACACCTTCTGTGGTGTCATCGGTCATTCCTATTCGAGTTGTTTCTTGTGGAAGGGATGTTGTTGTGTCAGAAGCAGAGGTTGGCATGGTTGTTTCCTTTGAGATCGGTACTACAGTTGGTACAGTCCTAGGAGCTCCTTCTGTTGTGTAATCGGTCTTTCCTATTCGAATAGTATCTCCTGGAAGGGATGTGGTTGTTTCAGAAGCCGATGTTGGATTAGTTGTTTCCCTAGAGATCGGTACTACAGTTGGTCCAGTCCTAGGAGCGCCTTCTGTTGTGTAATCGGTCATTCCCATTCCGGTAGTTTCTTGTGGAAGGGATGCGGTTGTTTCAGAAGCAGAGGTTGGCATGGTTGTTTCCTTTGAGATCGGTACTACAGTTGGTACAGTCCTAGGAGCTCCTTCTGTTGTGTAATCGGTCTTTCCTATTCGAATAGTATCTCCTGGAAGGTATGTGGCTGTTTCAGAAGCCGATGTTGGATTAGTTGTTTCCCTAGAGATCGGTACTACAGTTGGTCCAGTCCTAGGCGCGCCTTCTGTTGTGTAATCGGTCATTCCCATTCCGGTAGTTTCTTGTGGAAGGGATGCGGTTGTTTCAGAAGCAGAGGTTGGCATGGTTGTTTCCTTTGAGATCGGTACTACAGTTGGTACAGTCTTAGGAGCTCCTTCTGTTGTGTAATCGGTCATTCCCATTCGAGTAGTATCTCCTGGAAGGGATGTGGGTGTGTCAGAAACTGAAGATGGAAGGGTAGTTTCCCTAAAGATCGGTACTAGAGTTGGTACAGTCCTAGGAGCTCCTTCTGTTGTGTAATCGGTCATTCCCATTCGAGTATTATCTCCTGGAAGGGATGTGGGTGTGTAAGAAACTGAAGATGGAAGGGTAGTTTCCCTAGAGATCGGTACTACAGTTTGTACAGTCCTAGGAGCTCCTTCTGTGGTGTAATCGGTCATTCCCATTCGGGTAGTATCTCTTGGAAGGGATGTGGTTGTTTCAGAATCCGATGTTGGCACTGTTGTTTCCCTGGGGAGGGGCTTAAGCGAGGATCTTTCGATTGGAACTACAGTTGGTACAGTCCCCGGCACACCTTCTGTGGTGTCATCGGTCATTCCTATTCGAGTTGTTTCTTGTGGAAGGGATGTTGTTGTGTCAGAAGCAGAGGTTGGCATGGTTGTTTCCTTTGAGATCGGTACTACAGTTGGTACAGTCCTAGGAGCTCCTTCTGTTGTGTAATCGGTCTTTCCTATTCGAGTAGTATCTCCTGGAAGGGATGTGGTTGTTTCAGAAGCCGATGTTGGATTAGTTGTTTCCCTAGAGATCGGTACAACAGTTGGTCCAGACCTAGGCGCGCCTTCTGTTGTGTAATCGGTCATTCCCATTCGAGTATTATCTCCCGGAAGGGATGTGGGTGTGTCAGAAACTGAAGATGGAAGGGTAGTTTCCCTAGAGATCGGTACTACAGTTTGTGCAGTCCTAGGAGCTTCTTCTGTTGTGTAATCGGTCATTCCCATTCGAGTAGTATCTCCTGGAAGGGATGTGGTTGTTTCAGAAGCCGATGTTGGCATAGTTGTTTCCCTAGAGATCGGTACTACAGTAGGTCCAGTTCTAGGCGCGCCGTCTGTTGTGTAATCGGTCATTCCCATTCCGGTAGTTTCTTGTGGAAGGGATGCGGTTGTTTCAGAAGCAGAGGTTGGCATATTTGTTTTCCGAGAAATCGGTACTACAGTTGGTACAGTCCTAGGAGCTCCTTCTGTAGTGTAATCGGTCATTCCCATTCGGGTAGTAGCTCCTGGAAGGGATGTGGTTGTTTCAGAAGCCGATGTTGGCATACGTGTTTCCCTAGAGATCGGTACTACAGTTGGTACAGTTTCAGGAGCTTCTTCTGTAGTGTAATCGGTCATTCCTATTCGGGAGGTGTCTTGGGGAAGGGACGTTGATGTTTCTGAAGCAGATATTGGAATGGTAGTTTTCCTAGAGATGGGTGTAAGTGTCGATCTATCGTTTGCTACTACAGGTTGTACAGTTTCCATTCGAATATCTATCGGAATCGTTGCTGATTCGGATTTTGTAGATGTTTCAAAGGAAATCGATGCCGTTACTGTTGGAGCTGTGCTGGTGCTTTGTTCCGTGAATAGGGTTGTCGTTTTATTTGCATCTGGGACTATGGTGGTCAGATCGTCAGTTATTGATACTGCGGTATTTGTTTCTGTAGTAGGAGAACTGGATGTATCTGGAGCTGCTGGTGTAGTGTCAATTGCAAGGTGCTTGGTAGTTTTGTACGATTCTGTTGTCGTGTTATAAGATACTGTTGTTTCCTCCTCAGCTTCTATATCGGTATAACGTGTTCGCATTTCGGTTTGATTTGCCAATTGCATAACCGTGTACTTAATACTGACTGATTCCGTTGTAGTTTCGATCGGTTCGTCTGTCAAATTGGTGGGTATGCAGTTCGCAGTAGTGCTGTTGTTGGTCAAAGTCTTGGGGCATATGCATGTGGTAACCTTATGAGCTAGAGTGACGCACTTTATCGCGCCCACACAGAGTGTGTGACAGGGATCGATACATTGACCAGACGATCCACATTGTTGCGCTTCACTGCAATCTTCGTCTGAGGTACAGTTGCCACCTGGCATATCTGCTTGGTTTTTGGTTTTTTTTTTGTTTAGATAATTTTTTGGGTTTTTGAGTGGAGTATTTTGTACATAATTCAAAATAAAAGTATAAGATTTAAAAAATAAAATACGTTAAAATATATACAAATTTTTACCAGTTTATATAAAGGATATAGAAAGTGTATAGCTACAACAAAAAAGAGGTTGGTGCACTATATATATATACAGAGGGGTACGGTACCTAGAAACATACTCTTTGAATTTTCATTCTACTAATTCTCTTGCATACAACTGAAAAACTGTAGGGGAATTTCGAAGCTTTATCAACTATTTACGGTTAATTTCAAATTAGGAACAAACTTCTTTACTATTAGTTAGCTACATATTGGTTTGGTTTTTGTTTGTTTGGTTGTTTGTTTTTTTTTTTACCATTAGTAGTACATTTGTCACCGTTTATCATAGAATCATAGGTTAAGATTTTCATAGTATTCAAGAGGCATTTTTATTAAATTGATTAATATCACGGTGAGCATGAGCGTGTGTGAATGTTCAGAAGAGTTTTGCTTGTATTTATTGTGTTTTCATGTTACTATTGTTTGCGTTTGGATAGATCAGATGCATAGATCTACACTTTGGTCAACGCTTTTCTTGGATTATGGTGCATTAGCATCGTCACAGGTGCTAGTGGCGCAAAGCGTTTAACTTGGGGCTTGTTATAGTCGCTAGACACGGGGGAGCTGGCCCACACTTTTGGCTTGTAACTAAGCTTTCTATTTCTTTGGACCATATCGATAAGCAAAAGATTTATACGAGTACAGGCGGCAGTTAGTTTCTCAGTCCTATGTACATGTACACACAAAAATCTCTCGAGAAACAGATTGACGAGGCGTGAAACTTTAGATAGGAATATCAAGTCAATATATTTCGTCGGGTAAATCGGGTAAATTTTTGTGTTTCTTGTGAGGGGACAGACAATAAGACAGAGCTAGGCAAAAAGGTGAGAGCGTGTGTGAGAGACAGTAAGAGAGAGAGAGTGGTAGGTGGTGGTAGAGAGTAGAAGGCGGGAAACAAAGATACAATATTCGAGAGACAGAAAGGCACTCTCTTGCGGCATGGAGCCAAAGAGTGGTTGGTGAGAGAGAGTACGTTTGTGCTTTACCTTTTTGACATCCATATTTGGCATCGGCTATAAATCCAGGTGGGCAGAATTTACATATCGGCTTGTGATCCTCGACAATGCATGGCGAGTTGGGGGCGCATGTTGCAAACTTGCAAGGATCGACGCACTGCAGTTTACGGCAAGCAAGGCCAGCCGGACAGCCAGCGTCCCGCAGGCAAATGGATATCGAGGGCTGACAGTCCCGCATGCAGATGCACACGGGCTTGTGGTTTTGCACCTCGCAGGACTTGTTCTCGGCACAGACCGGTGCCCGGCCCAACGGCACAATACAGGGGTTCCGGCATTTGCCATCCGTGCAGGCCATATTCGAGGCGCAGTCATCATCGCGATAGCATTCCCGCTTATCCGGTGCACACGTCAGTTCTCCGTATTCGTTGACTATGAAGCCCGACTTGCAGATGCAAACGGGCTGGTGGCGTCGTGTCTCGCACTTCTTGTTGCTCTCGCAAATGAAGAGGGGATTGTTGCATGGATCTGTGCATTGGCCGTACTGGCCGCACTGCAATGTCTCCGGGCACTCGTTGTCACTGGAGCATGGTATCTGCTCCTTGGTCTTGGCGTCCATGTCATCGGTGAGACAATTGGGATCGGGCTTGCACTCTACTTCGGGCCGGCCGATGTGGCAACTTGGACAGGAGCAGCGCGGACGATGCAGAACAGTTTTGCACAGCGCATTCGAGCCGCACGCGCCACGCATTGTACAAGGATCGCTGCAGTGTCCTTGGAGGCAGGATTTTTCACTGGGACAATCCGTATCTGAGTAGCATTGTTCGGTGTCTATAACATAACATTCAGCAGGCGGGAAGAACGAGAGAGAGATAGACAGGAGTTGTTTTTTTTTTTGGTTGGTTTTAAATGTTAATCGTTGGTGGTTTCGTGGGTGCATTCGTCTATTCGGTGGCATAAACGCGGTACGCTACTAAATGTGAAGATATATCTAAATATATCTTCATTCCGAGGGAAACACATAGAAGTACGGAAGTGCGACATTGAAGGGTCGTTGAGTCAAAGGTTTTTTGGTAGACAGAGCCTGGTAGAAGATTCTGGGTTTGCTTTTTGCATAGAACAAAAGTGTTTGGGTGGATGGGTGCTGTAGGGTCTGGGGGTAAATCTTATATCTAAACGTTTCTAATAAACAAAAAGGGAGAAATCTTAAACGAGACAATATATAAACAGTATAATCAAGTTATATTTTTGTTGGTTTGTTTTGATTTGGACTTCTTTTTTGCTTGAGTGTTTTTTGTGTGGTTTTTTTTTGGTGGTTGGGTGGTATTGGGGTTTTATTGTGTGTGTTGTGGGTCGGTTTTTGTGGTTTGGTTTGTGGTGTTCGATTAAGTGTCAGTGGGATTGTTGTGGACTCAGTTTTGGGGGGTTGGGGGTTTTGTGCATGGGATTTTGTTAGAGTAAAGTAAAATTTTAGAGTGGGGGGATGGGAATTTGTCAACGAACTGTGTTCAGAAACGGTGTGCAAAAAGAAATCACAAGGAAGCGAAAACTAAAGAAAGATAAATATTGGATTTCCTCATCCAAAATTTAGTGCAGCAAAAAGTTTCTTTCAGATTTCATTTGGTTGTCTTATTCAAATTGTAGAACTGTGAAGGGAACATCTCACAATAACTCGGGTTTTATAATATGTAGTTTGTGGTATTTAGTATCGTATCTAAAAGCAAGCCAATTTCTGACTGCTTCTGGGTTTCGTCGAATGAATTTGATAGTTTTGGAGGCAGCGTACAAGAGAGCGAGTAGCAGGCGTAGTAGCAGTGAGAACATGTGAGCAATAGTTACAATCCTTGATGATTTACCATATTTTAACGAGCGAGCATATAGAGCAGGAGATATACCCAATTTGATGCTGATCAATGATATATATATCTGGAGATTAATGCGAATTCGAGCTAATACATATTGGTTTTTGTATGTTGTTGTTTTTTTGTTGTTTGGATTTTGTTCAGTAATGGCAAAAATTACACGACATCCAACACATGCGCTCTGCCCTCACGAGAGACACGTTATTGGCGATTGGTTTTGGTGAGTGAGTGATTGATTGATTGATTCAGATTCAGAGAAAGAGAGCGGAAGATTAGCTTTTTATAGGAATATAGGTAGGCTTTAGTAAGAGTACAGGAAATAGTAGTTGGAAAATCGATGGGTAAGAATAAATACAATTTGGAAAACGTACGTTAGAAATACTTGGAGACTAGTTTTCGAACTCTCAATCCTCGTTTGTTATTCATAATTCACAGTATTGTTTTGTTTAAATTTCGATTATATTTACAGATTGGATATTTTCGGGGTTGATTTTTTTTTTTGGTTAGTTTTGGCCGCTTAGATGCGGCCTATAAACAATATGTACATATGTACAACTTTTTCTGTATATACAACTTAATCGCTAGTCAAATGTACCAAAAAACAATATTGAAAGGTTAGTCAAATTTAGTTACATTTTAAGTTCAATTCGGGCTGGGTTTTTATTTGTTGTTGTTTATTGTAAAAGAGTTTGCAACCAATAGAGTGTGTGGTAGGATAGGCAGCAGCAGGAGCTTTCTTAATATGTACTGTTGTAAGGATTGTTGTGTATTTTGTACAAATAGTAGATCTTTTCGGTTATATGTTTTTTTGTTGACTGCTTTAGGGATGCATTGAAAATAGTAGAAGTTGTTGTTTTGTTTTTGTTGTAGTTGCTGTTATTGTTGATGTTGCTTTATGGTTTGCTATGGATTCTATACAATCATTGAATTGTAGTGGATCTTAAATTGATTTACTATTGTATGTTCCTCTCAATTGGTTTCAAATTTCAAGCATATGTTGTGTGAACTATGTGTGAGAATTGTCCCGTCCACAGTTCCCAATCTGAGACTTTATTTTCATTTGAGAAATCTACGAAAAGGGCTTTTCTTTTTAGCAAAAAATAGGGATACGACAGAGCTGTGGATAGGGCAGGGTACAATAGGTGGGCGGTGGACAGAGCGGATTCGGTAGGAAGGAAGGATAGGAATTTTTGGGATTATGGATTTCGATTATGATTTTATCATGTATCAAGGATGTGTTGAGGATTGTTGTCTATTATGTGTTGTATTTTTAATTTTTTTTTTTTTTTATTTTAGATTCATTTAGATTTGTTTTAGATTTAATACTGGGGCTACGTATCGCTATCGCGGCGTTTTTTGTTTTGTTTTGTTTTGTTAGGTAAGGAGGAGGATGAACCAACTTTTTGTCTACTGAATCTGTGCGAGAATATGGATGCCGCGGAGAGCTGATTTTCAAAATACAGAAATGGTTATTCAGAAGCCAATTTGTATGGTGACTAAACGAATTCCAATGAGAGTTGAGTTGAGCAGCTCTATGAAAGCCAGAATGAAAAATGAGAACGAACGCAAGCTTCAAGCTTTTTTTATGGGGGAAAGAGCCAGCTCTTCTTTGTTTGCTTTCTGATTAGTATGATTTTAAATTTACTTAAGGTCTAGACTTAAAAACTGCTTCATAGAGTAAGTGGTATTTTGTGTGTTTCAAAAATGAATTTAGGCACAGATTGGGTAACCGCGATAGCGACAGCAACAATCCACGAATTTCCATATGCTGTATTTATGTATGGTTGCATTGTATTCTATATTAAAGGATACTTAAAGAACTATAACTAACTCTTTGGTCTGGTGATGGCTATTCAAGGATCAGGTATCGGGAATTGTACGTTGTTGTGTGTAGGTGGTTGTGTTGTGTGGTTCTGTTTTGAGCGTGCTGGGGTTGGAATTATACGTATGCTTGGCTTTTCGCACATGTGTATAGGTTGTTAAGAAATAAATAAATACTCTAACAATTACGTATTAGATTTTGGCACACACACACTACACTGAACTCTTTGGTCAAATACGTATTTCTAGTAGTCTAGGCAGCCGGAGGAGGCTGTGTTTGAATTAGTGGAATTAGCTAATTAGCTTGGGGTGGTTTTTGTTTTTGTTTTGTGGTTTTAAAACTCGCATCTATGTATGGCTAATAAAAACCAATAAAATTATAACAACAAATTCAATTTCAATTGGTTACTAACAGACCTCCAGTTATTATGTTTTTGGTTGGTAAAAAACGGCAACGGAACGCTGGTTAACATGATTAGGCACTATTCTGTACTCTAAGGGCTAAAAACACACGAGACTTGTATAAATGGAGGGCCACTTACCCTGCTGGCACACATATTCATAGCCATGGCGCACACAGTCGCCCACATCGCAGCCGAGAGTTCGGCAGTCCTGTTGCGGTGGAGTCAAATAACCTACCGCGAAGGATAAAGATGATTAGCTTTGGTTTTTGAAAGAGTCTTAAGATATGGTTTACATTGCACATAGGCATCTCCGTTGGGGAAGTCCTCCGGGCAGTAGCACTCGGCTTGGTCGTTGTCCAGCACATGGCAGGCCGCATTCAATCCACATGGATGATCATGACAGGCATTCACCAGAGGTCCCTCGCAGAGGCACCCCTTGTTGGCATCCCCGATGCAGCCATCCATGCAGGCACACTCGTAGCCGCCGGGCACTTCGGTACACTTGGAGTTGACGCCACACGGGCTGTTGGAGCAGCCACCGTCCAGGGGCTGGCACTCGCTGGCAGGATTTCCAAAGAAGTCGGGTGGGCAGGAACATTGGGCCTGGCGGTTAACTACACGGCATTGGGCATTGGTGCCGCAGGCACCGTACTCCAGGCAGGGATTGCGGCACTTGCCGCCATCGCATCGCTTGCTGCTGTCGCAGTCAGAGTCCTGACGACACTCGAACTGCACGCACTCCTTACTGGGTTCTCCCTCATAGCCGTCGGGGCAGTAGCAGAGCATACGATGCTCGGACACGGTGCACAGGGCATTGCGTCCGCAGGCCTTGTCGTCGGCACATGGGTCAGTACACTTGCCGCGCACACAGCTCTGGTCGGCGGCACAGTCACTGTTGGACTTGCAGCCGGCAATGCAGGCGCCTCGCTCGCACAACTGTCCCACGGTGCATTGTCGCTTGGGTCCGCACTTATTGCGACACTTTCCGCGCGCGCACTGTTGTCCGCAGGCGCAGTCCTCCGTTCGGGAGCATTTTGTGGCGCAGTAGGCCCCGTTCTCGTCGCATTCACAGCCGGGATGGCAGCGCTCCGCTGGCAGTTGGCAGCCAGTGAGGCCGTCTCCAATGAAAGAGGCCGGACACTGGCACTGGACGCCATGATTCACCACCAGACAGTCGGCACACTGGCCACACTGGCCGGGGCTGCGACAGGGATTCTGGCACTTCTTGTTCACGCAGGCCTCGTCGGTCGCACAGCTGAGGTCGTTGCGGCAACCGGTCTGACAGACACGATTCTCGCAGATCTGGCCCTGGGCACAGACCTCATCCGTGTTGCAGACTGTGCGGCAGGTTCCACGCATGCAGCGCTCGTCCGAGAGACAGTTCTGGTCGTTGCGACACTTGCCCTGACAGCTTCCGGCGTAGCACAACTGGTTGTTCTGGCAGTCCTCGTTGCGTCCGCAGGCGATTCGCGGAACCTTGCAGGCCACGTTGGCCTTGCCGCTAAGTCCCTCCGGGCAAGTGCACTGTTTGCGATGGTCAATCGTCTGGCAGAGGGCATTCGTTCCACAGGCCGTGGGGTCTGCACAGGGATCCACGCACTGTTGGGCAGAGCAGGAAAGCTCGGGCGGACAACCCTGGTCGGACCGGCAGCCGGGCACGCAGTTAAGTCCCAGACACAGTTCGCCGTGGGCGCATTCGTTGTCGTGGCGACAGAGTGGCTTGCAGACGCCCTGCTGGCAACGCTCGTTGGTCAGGCAGCCGGCGTCGTCGGCGCACAAGGGGCGGCACACAGACTCGAAGCATGCCAGCCCGTTGCCACAGTCGCGATTCTCGCGGCACTCGAGCGGGGGGGCACGCACGCAGCCCACCTGGGGCGTGGGATTGGGTACCATGCTCTCCAGACAGCTGCAGGTGGCCCGGTGATTGGAGACCGAACAGGCGGCATTTGGGCCGCAGGGACTCTCCACACAGGGATTCACACACTTATCGTTGCGGCAGGACTCGGAGGCACTGCAGTCATCATCCACATGGCAGCCGTAGACGCACTTGTTGTGCAGGCAGACGTGCCCCAAGAAGCAATCGTTATCCACGCGGCAGGTCACTAAAATAAGATCAGATTTAGGTATGAAAATCATGTGAGATGGAAGGGAAGGAAGGGAACCTACGCATGCAATTGCCCCGCAAGCATTTCTCGTTGGAGGCACACTCCAGATCGTTGTGGCACACAGGAAGGCACATGGAGTCGCGGCAGGTGTAGCCAGGCGAGCAGTCACCATCGCAGGCAACTGGCACCCGGACACATTCCTTCGACGAGTCTCCGGTGAAACCCTCCGGGCAGTGGCACTGTTTAAGGTGGTTCAACATCACGCACTCGGCGTTCTGGCCGCAGGCCTGGGGCTGGACACAGGGATTGAAGCATTGGCCGCCCTGGCACACCTCCGACGGCCCACACTCGGTGTCCAGCACGCAGGCAGCTATATTTATAGGGAAAATCAGAGAGAGAGAATTAATTGACTTGAATTCTATAGGAGGTTAAGTTCCCGTCTCTTGCAACGTTCGTGTTCGGCGTGTGTTGTCGTTTGTGTGTAATTTGTAGTTAAGTTTGCATCTAGTCTAAGAGTTAGAGTTAGCGTTTGGTTTAATGCGTGGGCATCGAGGCCAGTCCAAGGTTTTGAAGTAAGTATCTAGTAGTTATGGTAGTTTCTTGAGATGTTGTGACACACTTGAGGGTTTGCAAAGGAATCTAAATCGTATATTTATCAGTTATTGTGGAATACTTGATGCGTTTGTAAAGTTAATTTGTGAATGCTTTCCCTCTTTGATATAATTTCCAACAAAGAATCAATTATTTTCCTTATCATACTTATTAGCTATTAAATCGATAATTCATAGTCATTGGCGTACCCTAAAGTAATGCTCTAATATTGTTTGTTAATTACGCAGCCCACTGTACAGTTGCTTTGTGATGTACCTCACAGCTTTCGTTCGTTTTCTGCTATCACTTTCGGGTGATCGCAGTAAAAATTTCCCCTAAGTGAACAGCTACATTCGTTTTGAAGAATTCGCTTTGAAAGATTCTGTTATTTTTACGATGAAACGCTAAATATGTATGGTTTTTATGATACTAGTTATTTAGAAAAAGAAGTAATAAAAATAATACCCCCATTGAATGCCACAACATCTCTGGTATAGATTTCTGTGCTAGTTTTTGGTAAGTAAGTGAGTAAGTAGGTACTAATAAGAAGATAGGTAAAAAGACTTTACTCGTTCAGGTACACCTGCATTCGAATGCAATTGTTTGCAGTAGAGTTTTGCAGTCGGAAGGTGGTAGAGTCGGTGGTGGGGTTTTTGCAGGCAAGGGTGCGTGGAGAGTACTTACGTTTGCAGACGCTATCCGAGCAGTAGGTGTTTGTGGGACAGTCGCCGGTGACCTGACAGGGAACGGGCAATGGCTTACAGCCGGCCACCCGGTCAGCGGGTTGGCCGTCGTAGCCCATGCGGCATGCACAGTGAGCGATGTGGCCCTTCGGAACACATTCCGCGTTGGGGCCACATTGCAGTTGTGCGCAGACATCGTGACACTTGGCCACGCCGTTAGTTTTGGTGCATGCAGCATGCGGGGGACAGTCCTCGTTGGTCTCGCACTCCACGGAGCTGCGACAGCCCTCATTATACGGGTCACCAACGAGGCCGGGGGGACAGCTACACTTATAGGAGCCGCGCGAGTTCCGGCAACGGGCACCGGGTCCGCACGGAGCATCGCGACAAAAGTCAATGACATCGCAGCGTACGCGGGGATCGCCACTGAAGCCGGGCTGGCAGTGGCACACCTGCTGATGGTGTTCCGTGGTGCAGAGAGCGTTGTCCCCGCAGGGCTGGCCTATCAGGCAGGCGATCTTGCACATATTATTGTCGCAGCTCTTGTCGTTCGAACAGTCCTCGTCGCTGCTGCACTCGATCTTGCGGCAGCCCGACTTGGCATCCCCAAAGAACCCATCCTTGCAAATACAGTCCGGAGAGTGGGAGCGAGCCACACACTCGGCATTGCGGCCACAGGCGGCACGACCGAGGCACACGGGCTCACAGCGGGCACGTCCGTAGGCATCCATCTGGCAGGTCTCGTCCTCGCCACAGTCCGTATTGGCGCCGCACTCCAGCTCCTTAGTGCAGATGTTGTTCGAGCAGAACTGGAACTGGGGACAGGTCGTGTTGGATTTACAGGTGCCCTGGCAGACGCCTTGAAGGCACAACTGCTCCGAGATGCAATCCCTGTTGGTGCTGCAGAGGGGGCTGCAAATTCCATGCGAGCAAATGCTTCCCTGTGCGCACTGCGCATCCTGCTGGCAGTACTGCAGTGGCACACATCCCTGTTTGGCATCTCCGGTGCTGCCCGACTCGCAGGCACAGACTCCGATGTGATTCTGGACCGAACAGAGAGCCTGGGCTCCGCAGGCATTGGGCAGAGAGCAAGGATCAATACATTTGGCATCCAGGCAGGCCTTGTCCCCGCCACAGTCATCGTTGTCCGAGCACTCGATGTGTACGCACTCGACGAGAGGATCTCCGCGGGAATTCACGGAGCAGGTGCACACGGCCTGGTGGCTTTGAGCCTGACAGTTGGCATTGATGCCGCACGCATTCTGCCGTTCGCAGGGACTGCGGCATCGGGAATTCTGGCAACTGGCGGTTGCGGGACAGTCGACATCGCTGAGGCATTCGCTGGGATCCCGGCATCCGGCCTGCAGGGGATCTCCGATGAGTCCCTCGGGGCACTGGCAGTTGTAGCTTCCAGGCAGATTGTTGCAGAAGGCCGTGCTGTGGCAGGGCTGCGACAGACACTCGTTGATATCTTCGCACACTCCTCCGCTGACCAGTTGGTATCCCTCGTAGCAGGCGCATACCGCCTTGTGGTCGGACACCTCGCAGTTTCCTTTGCCGCAGCCGGTTAGGTCGCAGGGTTTGATGCAGCGATTCGTCTCCGCATCGCAGGCACGATCGCTGGCACAGTCCACATGATCGATGCACTCGACCTTGAAGCAGCCGACTCCTGTATCATTTGGATCACCTAGATATCCAGCAGGACAGCTACACTGAGCCTCGTGTCCTTCCGACTGGCAATGGGCATTGGCTCCGCACACGGTCTGCAGGCACGGATCCGTGCACTTGCCCTGTATGCAGGCCAAATTGTTGGCACAATCGTCCGGCTGGTGGCATTGCCGCCCTTGGGAACAGCCCTGCTTGGTGTATCCATCGCCGACGGTACCCTCGGGACACACACAGCGATAAGAACCGGGCACATTCTCGCACCGGGCACTGGCATGGCACGGCTGCTCCGTACACTCGTCGATGTCGGAGCAGCCAAAGGGCGTGCCAATAAATCCGCTGGCGCACTTGCACTTTCCAGTGAGGCAGAGCTCTGTGGGCGGGCAGTCCGCGTCGGAGTCGCATCCTGGCTGGCAGGTGCGATCCGCATTACAGATCTCCCCGGCCAGACAGTTGTTGCTGGTGTAGCAGACCTTGCGGCACACCTGCTGATAGCAGCGCTCTCCAATCGCGCAGGAGGAGGTCTTGGTGCAGGGGAGATTGCACTGGTTGCCAATACACATGTGTCCGTTGGGGCACTGATTGCTGGCCAGGCAGGGAGCGGGCACTCGCACGCAGCCCTGTTCGGGCGTGGGATTGCCCTCGAATCCCTCCGGACAGCTGCACTGACTCCGGTGCTGGGCAATGTTGCAGAGGGCATTAGGGCCGCAACTGTTGCCGGACTGGCACGGATTCAGACACTTGTTCTCGATGCAGGACTGGTCCTGCTTGCACTCCTTGTTGCTGCGGCAGCCGATGGTGCAGTGACCCTCCACGCAGGCCAGGCCACTGGCGCACTGGCTGTGGTCCAGGCAGGCCACCACACAGACGTTGTTCAGACAGCTCTCGCCGTCGGAGCAGTCCTGCGAGTTCCGGCACGCGATGCGGCACTGGCCGTTGAAGCACAGCTCTCCGCCGCAGTCCACGTCGGTCAGGCACTTGGAGGCGCTGCGGGCGCATCCGTCCTTGGCCGAATCGGAGATGGGTTGGAAACGCAGCGGACAACTGCAGACGGGCTTCCGGTTCACGACCTTGCACTCGGCATTCGATCCGCAGGCGTTATCGCACGGATTCTGACAGCGTCCGCCCGCGCAGATGGTGTTGGCCGGACAGTCGGCATCCCCATTGGGGCACTGGCCGTCCGGACGGCAGCCCGCGCTCTTGGGTTCGCCCACGAAGTGAGGCGGACACTTGCACACGGGTCCCTCGGGTGTGACCTCACAAATGGCCGATGCATGACAGGTTCCTGCGGCACAGCCGCTCTGTTTGGTGCAAGCCACCTCGGGCAGTGGGTCGCCACGGAATCCGGGAGGGCACTGGCACACGGCGCGATGATCCTCGGCCAAGCAGATGGCATTCTCGCCACACGACTCCTCATCGCAGACATCGAAGCAGGTGTGGGTCATTCGGTTGCACATTTGGGTGGTGGGACAGTCGTGATTGTAGACACACGGCACGCTCTGGCAGCCATTGAACGGATCGTACGGATCGCCGGCGAATGGTCCGGGCGGACACTGGCACTGGGCCTGATGGTTGTTCGTGATGCAGACGGCACGGGGGCCGCACTTGACCGACTCGCAGGCTGGGCGACAGCTCAGCGTTTGGGTGGTCTCGTCCTTGATGCAGGCCTCCGACTCCTGGCACTCGGCATGGCTGCGGCACTGATGCTTCTGCGCCGGCTGGCAGCCATTCCGATCGTTGGGATTTCCCACAAAACCGTTGAGGCAGTCGCAGCGTCCCTGGTGCTGCCGGGCCACGCAAATGGCATTGGCCGGACAGGTGAAGGAATCGCAGATGGCCACGCACTTGAGCACGCCCAGGACGTCCGGGCGACAGGCGGAGGCATCCGGACAGTTGGCATCGCTGGTGCAGTCGGGCAGCGAGGGTTTCTCGCACGAGGAGACCACCGGGTTCCACACGAAGCTCTCGGCACAATTGCAGTTGGCATGTCCCGCGGGATTGATCTTGCACAGCTCGTTCGGTCCGCAGACCACATTCGAGCATAGATTAATGCAATCCCGAGTGCCATGGGCCGATGAAGTCTGGCAGCCGAAGCCGCGCTCGCAGTCCTTGTCCGTTTTGCATTTGTCCTCCATTTCGGGTATCGTCCGTTCCGGCTGGCAGCCCACTTGCAGATTGCTCGGATTGCCGAAGAAACCGTCGGAGCAGATGCACGACGAGCGATGATCTTCGGCCACGCAGAGGGCATTGGGACCGCACTGGATCTTCGAGCAGGCATCCACGCACTTGCGCAGACCCCTGCCCAGCTGGAAGCAGATCTCCGTGTGACGGCAGTCGGCATCGTTGCCACACTGGCCGCGCACGCTGCATCCCTCGCTGAGATCATGCGGATCTCCGATGTAGCCCATGGGGCAGAGGCATTTCCCAGCATCGCAGATGGCACGCGGTCCACAGGCCGCCTTGGAGCAGAGGTTCTTGCACTGTCCCTTCTGGCAACTGTAGCCATCGGGGCACTCCACGCGCTCGTTGCACTGGCACTTGTTTGCATCCTGACAGAACCGGCTCTCGATGGGTTGGCAGCTGCTGTAGGGATTTCCGGCGTGTCCGGACAGGCAGAGGCACTCGAAGCCACCGGCAGTGTTGAGGCAGGCGGCATTTAGGCCGCACGGTTTGTTGGTGCACTCGTCCACGTCCTGGCAGCCCACATGGGGATTGCCGCTGAAGCCCTGCGGACAGAGGCACGTGATGTGGTTTCCCACAGCGCGACATTCCGCGTTCGGACCACAGCTATTCGGCTGGCAGACATTCTTGCTCTGAGCGCCACAGCCCTCGTAGGGATTGCCATATGTTCCCGGATTGCAGGCACATCGGCTCTGTCCCAATCCGTACTCGCAATGGGCATTGTCCCCGCAGCCTGGCGAGCACTTGGCCATCTCGATGGGCGGCATGCAGAGGAGATCAGGATTGCCGACAAAGTTCGGTTCACAGACGCACTTTCCGTTGTTCTTGTCGCAGGTGGCTCCAATGCCGCAGACGACCCCATCGCAGCGCTCCTTGCAGCGTCCGTTGATGCAGATCTGACGCTCGTCGCAAGGCCGCGAGGCCGTACACTGATCCGTGCTGCAGCTGCCGCCGGGGAAGGGATTCCCCAGCTGTCCCTGCGGGCACTTGCAGGTGGGTCCGTCGCTGGTGGGTATGCACAGGGCTCCCTCGCCGCAGATCACGTCCTGGCACTGGGAGACGCACTCGCCATCGGCATTCTTGACGAAACCCACGCGACAGCGACACCATCCCGCATGCTGTTCGGTCTCGCAGTAGGCGTTCGATCCGCACAGGAGACTGGCACAGGGACTCAGGCAACTGCCGTCGAGGCAGGCCAGATTACTCGCGCAATCCTCGTTGCTGAGGCACTTGCTCTTGGGCGTTCCGTTCTCAAAGATGCAGCCGCTCTTGTACGGGTCTCCGGTGAATCCCTTGGGGCACACGCACTGGTATCCTCCCTTCTTGTTCACGCAGTAGGCACCGTAGGCGCATGGCAAATGCGCGCACTCATCCTCGTCTGTGCAGCCGAGCAGGGGATCGCCCTTGAAGCCCGCCTCGCACATGCATTGCGGGGGATCCGAGGGCGTGCACTTGGCATTGATGCCACAGGGGAATCGCTCGCAGGGGCTCTTGCACTTGTTGTTGTCCTGAGGATCGAGGAAGTACGGCGGTGGGCAGACACACTCTCCCGGCTGGATGCACTTCTCATTGCTGGCACACTCCTTGTCCGCGGCGCACTTCCTTTGGGCCGGAGCACAAAGTCCGTTGTAGGCATCCCCCAGGTAGCCCTCGGGACAGTGGCAGGTGTAGCCTCCGGCCTGATTCACGCACTGAGCTCCAAAGGCGCAGAGCTGGGTGCCGCGCTCCTCGCACTCGTTGACATCCGCACAGGTGCCGTCCGGCTGCGTCTGGTAACCCTTGGGGCAGGCGCAGTAACTCACGCCACCGGCAATGGAGATGCACTCCGCACCGCTGGGGCAGGCCTGGCCGCCACTGGAGCAGCCCGCGAGGACGCAGCTGTTGCCCAGAAGCTTGTACGGCGCCTGGCACTGGCACTCTGCGGTGCTGCAGATCTCACACATGATGAAGGGGTTGCCGGTGTGGCCCTGCGGGCAGCGGCACTCGTAGCTTCCGGGCAGGTTCTTGCACAGGGCATTCAGTCCGCAGGCTGGCTTTCCGCGCAGCGCGGAGCACTCGTCTAGGTCCTGGCACTGGCCATTCTCCGAATTGCGTTCGTAGCCCTGGCGGCAGATGCACACGCTGTTTCCTGTGTACGAATCCTGCACGCAGCTCTCGCCAGCCGCACAGGGATTCGCGTCGGAACAGCCTGCACTCTTGGATGTGGCACATCCCTCGCGGTAGGCATCGCCCGATGATCCGCCCGGGCACTGGCAAAGATATCCACCCGCTGTGTTGGTGCAAATGGCCTTCTCCGCACAAGGATTGGCCCGGCACTCGTCGATGTCGTTGCAGCCGCCGGGAAGAGCGGCATTTCCAGTGTAGCCGGGTGCACATAGGCACTGCGCCTGACCATTGGCCAGCATGCACTGGGCATGGGCTCCGCAGTCCTGCGTTTCGCACGGATGCCGGCAATCGTTGCCTATATTCGGCTCCGGGCACAGACAACGCTTCGTTTCGTCACAGATGGCATTTCCGGGACAGTTCTCGCTGGTCGTGCAGCTCACGATGGGTACGCAGCGCACACTAGGATCGGGATCGGCAATGGTGTGTTCGGGACAGCGACAGGTGTATCCACCGCCGGGCATGTTCACGCACTCGGCGCCCGATCCGCATTTACTGCCAGTCCGGCACTCGTCCACATCCACGCACTTGCTGTGCGGATCTCCAGAGAAGCCTGGAGGACAGGCGCACGAGTAACCACCGGCGGTGTTGGAGCATGTGGCGTTCTGGCCACAGCTGCCAAAGGGTCCATGCAGCAGATCGCACTCGTCAATGTCCACACAACCGGCGGCTACATCACTGGGATTGTAGGTCCATCCCTCCTCGCAGACGCAGTAGGCCTCGTTCTGGTCCGGTTTGCAGTAGGCATGCGGCCCACAGCGGACATCCTCGCAGGGCTGCTTGCAGGCCATCCTCGGGGGACTGCCTACATACCCGGCCTCACAGTCGCAACGATACGAGCCGGGCGTGTTCAGGCACTGGGCATGCTGGCCGCAAGCCTCTGCATGGGTGCGACACTCATCGATGTCCACACAACTGGCGCCAATGGGCTCGAATCCGTCAAGGCAGAAGCACTGGTTCTCAATGCACTCGGCGTTGTTGGTGCAATCGAAATTACTGCGGCAGAGGATGTTCACATCCACCTGTTCGCAGGCCACCTTTGGATCGGGCTTGCCGTCGTAGCCCTGCGGACACTTGCAGTTGTACCCGGGAACCGTGTTCTCGCACTGGGCGTGCTGGCCGCAGGGTTTGTCCAGGGCGGCACACTCGTCAATGTCCACGCAGCCGCGGAAGGGATCGCCGGTGTAGTCCGGCTTGCAGGTGCACACAAAGCTTCCGATCGTGTCCGTGCAGATGGCATTCTCGCCGCACGGGTTGTCCTGACACTCGTTGATGTCTGGATCGGTCGAGGGGCAGGGTGTTTGGGGCAAACGCGTGGTTCATTGGCGGGTTGTGGTGGTGGTGGTGGTGGTTGGGGGGATTGGGTTAAATATATTTATAAATTAATTAAATTAGTATTCAAAAACAATACAAAATTGGATGATAGACAGGCGAGGGAGCATATAGCGTGAAGTGGGGGAGCGGGAGGAGATACTGGATACAGGTATTGTAGATATAGAAGGGATAGAGGTGGGAGGGAGGACTACAGTGGGTGTCGAGGAGGAAGCTGTCTGAAAAGCATGCAACTGCTAGAAAAGCATAAAAGCTCAGGCTTGAAGCTTGCTAAAAAAAATAGGCAGCTTTAAAGGCATTTAGCGGGTGGGAGGGATTGGGAATTTTAGGAGGAAGCGCCTCCCACAAGGTCTGCAAGTCCATGCGGGTGTTTTATCCCCTCGGATCTTGCAAGCCTCGTGGAGTTACAAAAATATTCAGGCTCTTTTTTCAGTATTTTGCAATTTAAATACTAAATATAATACTGAAAATTCCGTAATATCTAAGAATATACTTGGTATTTTCACTGGAATATATTTCAAATATCGCTTAAACGATTGAAACTACTATAAAAGGTGTAATACAAATCTGAAAATACCAAGTATTTCCATCGGAATATACTATAATACGGAAAATAGAGCCTGGGGACGAAGCATGTCTAAAGCAGGCAATAAATACTAACTCTCGCAATGCAAATAGCCCTGTCCTTGGAATCCACTCGGGCACAGACATCGATACGAGCCCGGAAAGTTAATGCATTTGGCGTTGGTGCCGCACTTGGCCACGCCATCCGGCTGGTTGCACTCATCGATGTCCAGGCAGGCCAAGCCCGCGCCCGATGTGGCAGGAGCCACCGCCGTCTGGATATCGGCTTCCCCCTGGCCATAGCCCAGTGGCAGGATGGCGAGAGGTGGCTCTGCGTTCTGATCATGCTCGAGGACGAAGCCGAGGGGACAACGACACTGATAGCTACCGCCCATGTTCACGCATTCAGCACCCGAACCGCATGGATTGTTAGTGGCGCATTCATCGACATCTGGTATTATGTTTTGTTTCGGTATTAATGTAGCATTTTGCGGTGCATTAATGTTGGTATGTTGTGTGTGTGATGTGTGCGTGTTGGTATTTTGTTTTGGTATTTTGTAGGTGCCGCCAATTCAAAAACAAACAAAAGTGCAAAAAATACAACCAAAATGGTAAATGTCAAATGTCAAATGATGATTAAACTTCTAGGCTATCTGTTGCACTCACCCTCGCAGCCGTGCATGGGATCCCCGCTGTAGCCGTCGGGGCAGAGGCAGCGGAAGCTGCCGTCGTTATTCAAACAGTTGGCATTGCGGCCGCAGGGAGATCGAGCACACTCGTCCTGGTCCACGCATCCTTGGTCGGCGCGTCCATCGCCGTCGTATCCCGGCGGGCAGTCGCAGCGATAACTACCCGCGAGATTCGTACATATGGCACCGGGTCCGCAGACATTCGGATATGTGCACTCGTCCACGTCCTGACAGTCCTTGTAGGGATCGGCGCCCACAAAGCCCTCGGGACAGGCACAGGTGTAGTTCCCAGGCGTGTTGATGCACTGGGCGTTCGGGGGGCAGGCCTGCGGATTGCGGCACTCGTCCACATCCGTGCAGAGCACTTCACCGTCGCCCTCGTACCCATCGTTGCACTTGCACAGGAAGTGCGACGGCAGATTACAGCACTCGGCATTCTCCACGCATCGCGCTGCTATCGCGGGATCTTGGCATTCGTCAATGTCTGCAAGTAGAGGAAGATACGACGGAGGACCGTGATTAATCGAAGATGCTACACAACAAATGACAAGTAATTAAAATCCAAACGCAGTACATTATCTTCCACCTTCCAACTTATTTATTGCATGCCCCCCCACGCAGGCGGCACCATCCAAGAGACGTGTTCTGGCTCTGGCTCTAGCTCTGGCTCTAGCTCTGGCTTTGACTGCCGGTCTCTCTACGCATTTTGCCGCTTGAATGCGCGCTCTGCTCGCATTCACAGTCGCGGGGAATCGGACATGGAGTACCAGCCATGTGGCAATGGATGCCATCGAGATTTGCATATTACGCATGACATTTCAGTGTCATTCGCGCGAGTGGAAGCCCCGACGACAATGTCAGAGCACAGGATGCACCAGTTGCATACATTTTCATAGCAATTGGATACGAATACGAATAAGAGTAGATATGGGTGTGTGGCCAATGTTAATGGGACAACCATAGATCATAGAAATTAGACAATTCAGTAGAAGAATATTTAAAACCATTGCAATTCGAATCTACAGAAACAGAGAAATTTGGATACCTCCAAGAGAATAGTAATCAATCTTCTCAAAAAGAATCGGTCTTAGTGCATCCCAAAGATTCATTCAGAATGTTCATAGAAATTGAGACTTAAGAACGCTTCAGAGACAGAGACAAATCTCATGATTACAATCTTAATCAACGACATTTCTTAGTGAGAATCGATTTCTACATTCACCAGAACTCTCAAATTGCATAAGCCTGAATCCAACCTAACCTTTCATGTCCGCTGTCTGATTCTCTGGCGGAAGGAGGAGGATGCGGAGAATGAGCTGTGGCTCAGAGCTTTCTGCTCCAATAGCGCGCAGCGCAGCGCATCGCATCGTATCGCATCGAATCGTATCGAGAATTGACTATTGCCAGAGAGAAAGACACGGAGCCAATGAAGCGGCACTACAGCTGGATTGAAACAGACCGACTACGAGCCGGCAGCCGTTCTCCGGGACCGCAATCTGGGCCCATTAATCATCCGAGGGCCTGCGACTAAGCAAAAGTTGTACATTTATAGCTAATATGACATAAATACAAAAGTTGGCAAAAGGCAAAGACAAGGACGAGCTCTGCAGATAGATAGCAGCGAATCGGCATATGTGTGTAGGGTTTGGGTCCCTTATAATTACAACAAGAACGAGTTGGTCGTTCAGTTATAATTACTAGTTTTTAGCTTATAAATTAAGAGGATCATCACTCCTCCTCTCTCCTCTCGGTCGGGGTACGGCCGAAACTGGTATTCGCTCTTAACAACCAACTGATATGACAGCATTCCATGTTTGTGGCAATTGCAAACTCTGATTACTCAATGTCATCATCCTCGTCGACTACCGAGTAGTCTCCACTGCCATCTGCCATCCCCATGCTGTCCCGGAGTCCAGAAGTTTTTCCAGAAGCAGGAAGCATTCTATGTTCTTCTAAGTTTCAATGTCAGTTTAATTACTTTATGCAATGCGACTGCAAGACGACAGCAGCAGGTCCCCGTGCCACGCCGTTCCTCCTCGCGATTCCAGACACGGTCCGAGACAGAGCCAAAGACAGAGACAGAGTTGGGCCATTGACCAAAGGCTGTCTAATGAACTTAGTAGCATGCCCCGTTGCGCCTCTCCTGCCAGCTCTGATCTTTTTACAGCCTGTTGGTCTCAGACGCTGAGTGTAAATATTAGTTGTGCCTCCTCTGAGAATGATGTTCACAAATTTGCTGGCTCTCTAGTTTTGGGGCAGTAGGCGTGCCTAGATTCTGCCCAGATTTGACCGCTTTAAAAGCAATCAAATATATGCGTGACTCAATGTGATTAGACCCAACGATTGCCTGAAATGATGCTGACATAATTCCCGGAGCCATGCTTCTTCTTGGATTTCCTGTCCGTCTCTCTAAATGCTGACCATAATCGTCAGAACAAGATTTCTTTCAAGCGGCATTTTAAAGTGCGGTGATCTGGTCATTAAATATAGACACACACACACACACACACCACAAGGGAAATGCTTAGATGATTATTTTATAAGTATTATATACAATTTTGTACCTATGTATACTTTCTATATACTCGCAGAGAGCGTTGAGTGTGCCTCAGTAGGGATTTCCTGCTTCAAAGAAAATCAGATATAATTGAATATACAATTAAAATAATTATTTAATTTTATATTCCGTTCAGATTTTGGCAAACGAAAGAACTTGCGATTCCATAGCTTGGATATAAAATTGATTTATCGATTTGTAATTGCACTATCTTTTTGGGACTTAAACGTACACTTGTATCCTTTTGCTTATGGAACATTTTTACAGCTAAAAAACTTGAGAGGAAGAATAGTTTGCCATTTATTGATAAATATCAATCGCAGCTATTGTTTAATGAATAAGATACGAAGTGGGGTATCAATAGTGCTCTATTCCCTTCGATGGGTGCCTTTGCACATTTTGCCTTCTCATAAAGCACTGCCCTAATTAAAACTAATTACCAATCAGACTATTGTAAAACTAAACCTGAAATGCAACAACTGATCTAATATGCACATTAGATAAAGCATGGTCTGGTCTCCAATGGTCCCGTCTCGTCTGTCTGGCGTCTATCCAATAAATTGTGTAATTGTGTACTTAATTAGCATCCAGTGCAATTTGAGTTATGACATTCGTGCCATGATTTTTCAGTGCATCCGAAAACCACATGAGGCTGACTATGGCTACAAACAGATAAAATTTACGAGCGGACATGACTTTCATGCTCCACTGCCAGGCGATGATTAGCAGCTCGAATAAATCGTAATACGAATACAGAAAAAAAGGCACACAAATCTACTCTGAACTTGAACTCGAGCAAAACGAGGTGGGGGGAAGAGACGAAGAAATCATAATAAAGAAAACCAAAATTAGTTAACAATTTGTTACGCAATTATGCGGCAAGTTTTTCCATAAACTAAGTATATGCTCTAAGATCAAGGTCGAGTGGCAAAGTGATGTCAGCCGGATCCGGACCCACAAATAGAGCTAGAGCTCAGACCTAGAGGTAGAGCTGGAGATCCATGGGTGGCTTTTGCTCTTTGGTGGAGACGCCCCTCATTTGTGCGTAAATGTGGCAAATACACGCTCGTATAATTAGGCGTGTCAATGCCGACGCTTAAAGCCATTTTCATGCCTTATCAGCGCGCCGGCTTCGACACGAGAATTAATTGCTGCCATTTTGATATGCAAAAAGTGCAAAGTACCTACAAAAACATACAAAAAATAAGACAAAAAATAATAAGAAGCCACCGACAATCGACGACGCGTATGTTCTGAACCAAAAAAAAGATATAGTACTCGTATAGTATAAAAAAAGCCAGGGCTTATCATCTGACGTTGATCTCCAACTGGTGCGTTGCCCAGCCCCAAAGACGACGACGGATTGAAGTCCGCCCTGGAGTTGAAGTCGAGGTTGGAGGCAATCGAGAGTCCCACATTGGAGGCAGTGCCAGTGCCAGTGCCGTTTGCGGCTTTTGAGGACAGGCGGCGGCATTAAGCGCCGACAATGCTACCGCCACAGACCTGGAGCTGGTGCTGGAGCTGTTGCTGGTGCTGCGATCGCGACTGTGACGGCGTTGCTACGTGGGCACAATCTATTTTATCCGTTTTAATGATCTGCCCCAGTTAGCGAAACGAAAGGGAGCAGCCGCCTGCCAGCCGGTGAACGTGGCGGCGGACAGCGCGAACGATCGTTCGGCTCGAGCGGACAAATCCAATAGCAAAAGGCCACAGCTGTAGAGGGTCTGAAGCAGTGGATACCCTTTCATACAGAGATTGGTTTATCAACCGATCCTTCCTATGGAAATTGTATGAAATACTAGTGGAAGTAAAGGTGGTAATCATAAATAAACAGCCAAGAGCTCTTGTTATTTCTAAGATCTATCTACTTTACGACCTTTGTATATGATACCCTCTTTGCGTCACAAACATCTGCCTAAAATCATACTATCCTCTCTTTCAGGGTGTTCTCGACTCTTTTTGAGCGTGTTTTTTCCTTGTTGTCTTTGGATATAAATTTTAGCACTCTATTCGAGAGGCTCATTCCATTTATTGCACGCGGAGTGCTGTAGCTGTGGCTGTGGCTCGGGCTGGGGCTGGGGCTGCCGCTGTGGCTGTGGCTGCAAGACAAATGCATTAGAAGGATCGATAGGCCAGATATAGGTCTCTATCTGTGGCGCGATTTTACGACTGTGAGCGTGCGTGTGGATTTATCATTTTTCAACAGTCATTGCATAACTGGACTTTTGCGATGCGTTAACGAAGCCAGCGCCGTGCCATCGCCATTGCTGGATCGAACCCATTTGAGTTATGAACATGAAATAATGCACCATCGAGTCTAAAAACAGGTGTTGCCACCAACTACCGTTAGAGGCATGAAAAGAAAAAATAAGCAACCAAATACTAAACAGGAAAACAGGTACATATCTCTGTACTCATGCTGGAGGCTGGTGACTCTGTGCCTGGTGCCCGGTGTCGGTGCCGGTGCCTCCATCCGACGCAAAATGTGTCTCTAAGCCAAGGAGCGTAGAGTAGGTTTGTCAGGCCAAGACCAAGACGACGGCAATGTGATTTGTTGCAAAGTTTATTGGGTGAACTTGATGCAAAACAGGATTTACATAACATTGGGGGACACATTCGGTTACACTTTGGAGCCGAGCCGCCTGCGGTACACATTTGTGGACTGAATGCACCATTCATCGCACGATAGAGGGGAATATTCGTTTCTTTTTAAAAGAGATCTGGGGGATCTGATACGTTTGCTGGGATACAAGGATAGTTGGAATATTGGAGAGTCTTCAGAGAATGGTAATAATAGAGCACTGTCCACTGAGGCTAAAAGTGGGAAAGTGAGACTTCCTCAACCATTGGAATTGCGTTTTCCCACATTCAGGCACTATGATTACCAATTTTTATGGCTATACGAGTGGGAAAAAGTATGTGTTTTGCCTGTCAAACTATTGTTCAAGTTTATGAACTTTGTTTGGGCGACTCTTAAGGGAATCCCACTACCATTTCTTATCGAAACGGGGCATCAGCAGAAGAGAGCTGCTCCCTATATCAAGCCACTGCTAAAATATTCAAAGGGGAAACGCTCAATCTCAGTCTCAATCTGATACTTTTAAATAAATTAAACCTCAAATCTATAATTATAAAACCCGGCTACTGGCACTACATCAACATTTAATTGTGTGTTTAAGAGAGCACCCGCTCTGTCCCCGGCAGACTCTCTGGGAACGCATACCGTGTGCGTGCCCCTGATGAAGGTACATCTATTCCACGCACATGTGCAGAGCGCTGAAAGCTTTCCCAGCATATTTAAAACTAATTCAGATGATTACAGACAATTTGACGAGGTTCTGGATAAGTCCAGAGCAGAGCAAAGGCCAGACAGAGAGAGAGAGAGAGAGAGAGCTACAGAGGCCCCTGTCCCCAATGCAACGTGCATCCCAATCATCATGATGATCTTCATGATCCATGGGATCATGCATAATATGCGAAAAAGTTTCTATAGAAGAGAATTAGATAATGCCGACTGAAATGACTGAAATGCGATGCTGGCGTTACACGTCGCTGGCTCAGAATTTATGCATGCCTGCCCGCTTTTACTGAACGTAGGAGACGTAGGAGCAGCAGTGGTCACATTTAATCTAGAATCTTGGCAACGTCTTCATACCCAGTGGGGTAATGCCGGTGTGTTGGGGCACACATGGTGCGCCACCTCTCCCTCTCTCCAGGGTGTTGAAAGTTCTGGCGTGTCCATGTTTGGGGTCAGATTACATGACACTGATTCCTCCACTTCTAACAGACATCTTCCACATGCACACACACACACACACACACACACATGTGTGTTGCATGGCGCGAAAGCATTGCTACAAATGTCTGTGGCTTTATATTGTTTTGGATTTCTTTCTTCTCCTTATTCTCTTCTCAACCACAACGATCGTCATCATCTGAAGAAGCAGCCGTAGAAGCAGCAGCATCATTATCACCATCATCATCGTCTATAGGAAAAATCTCAGAAGAGAAGAAAGAATCTCTGCGTTCTTTACACTTTTTCTAGTTATTATTGCTCTTCTTTCTGGCTGCTTTTTGATGGCTTTTTATTAGGTAACATTAGAGCCAGGTCCAATTACGGCAGCCGGTTCTTGGTCGGAGGGAACAGGTGGTCTTTTCGAAGGTTTTTTCGGGGTCCTGCTGCGAGCATAACGAGCAAACGAAATGAGTGCACAGGATACAGATCAACGGAAACCGATGAAGATATATTTACTCGAAGCTCCGATTTTTCCAGAGCTTAATCTGTGCTATTTGCGAGTGCATGTACGATCGTGTAACCCTGGGCCTGGGTTCGCTGCTGCTGCCGCTGCTACAATGTCTGGCGGGGAGGCGGCACTCAAGTGTAATCGCTACACGGTCATTATTATTACCTCGCAGATAAGTATACTCTATTCTCTATCTTCAGGGAGCCCACAGTTCGTGGCGACTGAGAAAAGCTTTCATATTATTGTTTGGCGCGTCTTTTGTTACATTTTCTTTGGCTTTGGAGGCTGGTACTTGAGACCTGCTATAAACCGTTAGCCCAAAGTGCTGCCTGGCCTAGAGTCTGGGCCAAGAAAAAGAGACGACGACGTTGACGGAAGTACAAAACGGCAACAACAATCATTTGTTGGCTGGACCATCATTATGCCAACAAATACAAAGAAACTGCAAAAGACTGTAGTGCTGTAGAGCTGTGGACTGGGGACTGGCACTTACCTTCACAGTGAACACCATTGCCACGATAGCCCGGAAAGCAGGTACACGTATAGCTGCCCAATGTGTTTGTGCAATGGGCAAACACATCGCATGGATGCTGTTTGCATTCGTTCTCATCTGAAAAGAGATTTGGTAACGGTTATGTAAAAGGAGAAGAAGCCCCAGCCAGCCGAAGCCACTCACCTAGGTCAACGCAATTGCAGCCGCCATAGCCATCGTTGCAATGGCAGACGCCATTCAAACACGCGCCATGTGTGCACACTGTGCCGTCCTTATCACAGTCATCTAAACAGAGAGAGGGAGATTGAAACATAATGTTAGATTATCCAGAACAGCAGATATGCATTCGTAGATTACTCACTTGTGCATTTGAGCTCTTTGTTTTGCTCATCGGAACCAAGATAGCAGTCTTGATTGCCGTCGCATAGTTTCGATAGTTCGTATAATTGCAAATAGTCTGTCGACTCGTTGACCTGGCATCCGAAGTAGCCATCCTCGAGGTTCAGGAAGAATACCTCGCCACGAAATCGACTGTTCTTTCTCAAATTTGTCTGGATACGTTGCGGTTGTTGTGAATATTGTGAATGTACCTGTGGGCGAGTCAAAAGAATTGTGGTGTTAGTTTAATTACACGCACAAATGCCGGAGGAAGCCTGCAGCTTAACCCCAATTCCCTCTAATGGCAACCTTCGCTGCAACCTCTACAACTAGCGGGACAGGTGGGGCAGGGGCACAATCAGGTTTAAACTAATTTAAATTCAAATTATATACAGAAAACGTAGCAGGCGTAGCACCGGCAGCACCGGCCTGAGCTTCTTCTTCCACCCAAACACAGGGCACAGAGAGAGACAGCGATTTGGTAGATTTCTCAACCACGATGTGGTCCATATGGGCACGATGCGATCGCACCAGGCTACAGCCATTCCATAGAGACATTCACGACGCTGGTATGGGAGCGTAGTAGTGCTACTGCCTGTTGCTGGTCTGGCGTTGTTTGCCGCCACTTAATTGTTACACTTGGCTGATTTTACTTTTAACAAAACAAAAGTTGTTTGCCGTTTGCCATATTTTCTTAGCCAAAACTCTCGACTGCCGACAGCGGCAGCAGCAGCGGCAGTGGCGTTTGTCTGTTTCTGCCCGCTCGAGTGTTACAAACATTAGATATAGGCTCTGGGAAACACGTTTGTCACTTAAGACCTTTTTGTGCTCCAGCAAAATGAATTAAAACTAGTTTCTTCTATATTCACACACTGGCACATACACATTTGTCGCATTGCTGCTGCTATATGTTCATGTGTACAAATGGATACTTCTATTTTTGTATCTGGTTTAATTTGATTTCCTGCGTCGTGGTTTCTATTTTTCAAATATAGTCATTAAATGGCGGCAATTCCAGCTTCCAACTCCAATTTGGTTTTTTCTTTCCAATAACGTTGTGCGCAGTCTCTAAAATATACCGTCCGACCCTCAGAAATATACCAAAATATACCTTCTCATGTCGAAAATATACCGTAAATACACTAACGCACTGACGAATCCAAGTAATAATCCAATCCAATACATTTTTTTCCAATTGCGTTGTGCGTCTCCTTTCAGAACAAGTTCAATTAAACAGTTTATTAAAATAAACTATTGATCAGTGGCTGTAACATGCTAAAATTATTCCAAGTGGTCTGCTCCCGCAACGCACTCTCTTTTGGGGTATTTTTTAGGGTATTTTTTAGCACAACAGCAAAATTGTTTTTCTGTTTCATCAGATATGACGTCACACCGCTCTCAGTAGATACCCGAAAGAGAGTAAGCAGACCACCTTGTACAATTTGATATCTGTCTGCAATAAGTAAACAAGCTTCTCTATCGCATACATATGTATTTAAATGAATGTGAACACTTTTTTAAGTTGTTCAATTTATTTATAATGACTCCACATATCAGCAAATGTTAAATGCATTTAGCTGAAAAATAAACTTATGAATTAAATCAACAAATTGTTTTCTGTTATGCCATTAGACTTTGCTAATTTTTCTGCCAAGCGTTAGTCGGTTAGCAAAGTCTATTGTCATAACGGCCATTATCGATCTGCATTTACAGCAGTCCAAATAATGTAATACTTGTTAAAAGTTCGTAATATGTTGTGTTTTATTTGCAAGCGATTATTTTATAATACATTGGGGATTTTTAAAGTGATTGATCAATTGAAGATTGAGCATTTTCCTTGTGTGACTGCGCGCAGCAATAGGAAACCTATCAATTCATAAATACGATCAATGCTGCAGTAATAATTTTGAAGTATGTATATAATAATATAATATATATATATATGTATATATATATAATATATAATAATAACCTAATCCAAGTGTATCGTATTGCTTGTGTTTCATGCTATATCGGTATTAAAGGGTAGTGGAATACGGCCTTTACCAGCACTAGTATTAATTAACACTTCGACTATCGATTGCCTTCCATTGTTTATCGCGCGAAAAAGCCGCCGTTTTCTTAATTTCCTCGTTTACGACCAATTTAATTTCTTTTGTTGTGGCTGCTTAATGAGCCGCACAATGGAGTCCGTGAAAAGCCACTCAAAGTGCTCTACGACCCTGCAGGAAGGTGTGAACACGGGGCAGACGGCTGTCAAGTTCAAGTTCGGCTGAGAATTGTTTTGGGCAGATTCGTATCGGGCCACCACCGCCAGCCACAAGGCAGTAGCTTCGCAGCCGCAGCCCGCACCACCATCATCATCATCTACTGCTCGTGGAGGTTCTATGTTGTTTTTAGTTTTCAATTGCTCGCTTCACGCCATGCAACGCTAACGGCCTTGCTAAACAATAGATTCAGCCGCCAGTCGCTGTCGTCGGTTGCTGCCTTCGCCGTCTGTGCCTCCTGCACTTTTGCCTCCGCCTCCACCTCCGCCTCTGCTACTGCCTGCTACCTGTGTATCTCTGCCACTATGCGGCTGCTACTTTTATCAATTGACAGGCGTCGGCGGCGTCACAATAAGCAGCACATGCACTCAACTGAGGGAACAGCAGCCCCGGCGATGCAACAATTAAAGGCGTGCGAGTAAAGATGTGCGAAACCGATGTGGGGATGCTGATGTAGATGATGATGCGGCTGCTGAACGGCTCCCATGACATTGAGCGGCGCGCCGTGTGTGCCAGGCCCCGGGAACGACTACAATGAGCAATTTTTCGAAGCCAAGCGGTTGGATGGATGGCTGGATGGATGGCTCGCTCGCTCGAATGCTTGTTAACAGCCACAATGACAACGGCAGACAGATGACGACGTTGCACGTCAACGCTCAAGTGCATCCGTTATAACTGTCAATGGGCATTAACTCTTGTGGCGCACTGTGTCGCCGCTCTCTGCTCTGCTGTTGTTTTCGGCAACAGGTAAGGCCCACAATTAAACCACAAAATTCGCAACTAATTATCATTATACCCACCTCTAGGTCCAGTGGACAAAGATCTAATCAAGTAAGTTATGACTGCCTCCGTTGGCTACGAGATCAAACCATAAATCATATCCCAACGCACAAAAGAAAGCAAATCTATAAAACCAAACAAAAACCAAAAGAGAGGGCCCCTCCATTGACAGACGTGTCGCATAACAAACCACAAAACGGGCATAAAGTCAATGAACTCTCTCTCGGCTTACGTTTCGGCTTAGAGAGCATTCTTTTGGCCAATTTCTCAAGGCCCCGAACTTCCTTCCCCATGCCGTGCTCCCCGTCTTCGGAGTGCATAAATCGATGACTATCAAAGCGTTTTTACAGCTAATGCGGCTATTTTTATTCATTACGTTTTCTTGGCTTTCTTTTATCGATTGGAGTCCCGGCCTCGGCCTCAGCCTCAGCCTCGGCTTTGGCTGCGTCCAGTCGTTGACCGTAGTGGCGGCCCAGTGATTTTGCTCTTCCGCTTGGCCCTATCATTAATATACACAGACACAGTCTCTCTTTACCTGTAGTCGGTTGCTGGTTTTGCCCCGGAATTCTCGTCTCTGGCTGCCAAATTTGCTTTGCATCTTAGAGCATCTTGCGAGTAGATTTTCCTCTCTGATTTCACAGTCAGATGTTAGTTTTAATAAATATGTTTTACCTATGGTCGGCCGTGGAGTCGAGTCATTTGGCAGTAATTTCTTTTTATGGCTCATTTGCATGACAGGAGACCGGACCGACCAGGTACCGTTAGGTCATCAAAGGTCTCTACCATCTCTCCGTCCCATCCATTCTCTCTCTCTCGTCGTTCTGTTCGGGGTCTCCATTTCCCCATTTGAGATATTTGTATAAGAATTTGTTTCATAATGAGGTGCCGGATCGTAAATTTAACCAATATCTTTCTCTTTGGGCGTGAGCCTGTCTTTTGTTTGAACCTTTTCGAATGGCTTCTTGAGAACAGAACCCATAAATTCATTATGAGCCATACGCTAACTGCTGGATGTTTTTATCGGATGATCTAATCGCTTTCTTAAAGCTAATTATTGTAGTTAAACATTCGGTTAATACTTACTGCACTCGAGAGTAGTAGCACTATCCACGTGACTAGTGGCAAAAATATTTTCATTTTTGCTGCAAAGAAACGGAAAGAAACAAAACAGAAATCGTACATTAAAAACCATCAAAATCACGTTAAATAAATGAAACAAAAACACAATTAAGGCTAAGGCGATTTGCGGGACTTGAGCTTGAGTCCCAAAACAAATACAAATAATTAACTTGAAAATTTTGAGCACGAAGAGGCGGCCAGAAATTGGCCTGGTCATCTCGGACAGGTGCCAAAAAATAACAGAAACAGAAACAGTGGACAAAGAAAGACAAAAGACAAATGTGAGGACAGGTAAATGACACTTGAAATTTATGCGCAAACACGGCTCCGGCCCCGGCCCGGCTCTGACTTGGGTACCTTTACTCTTCCCCTGGAAACTTATACAACAACGGGACCGGCATAAAAATTGTTCAGCCTTTTGGCGACCGAGCGAACAGAAAATGTTTTTTCATTGTTTGTGGCAACGCAGTTTTCTCACGCATTCCATTTTCCACTTTCAGTTTCTCGACATCGGCTGGCGACTGATTTTCATTAGAGTTTGGGCTGTCCAGTCGCCTGGGACGACTGTTAATTGGATAGAATGACTGAAAAATTGCGTCTATCCGTTCGGGGAACGGGGAACGGGGAAAAATGTCATAATTTTGTGTGGAAAAACAGATAGCATCTTTATATGGTATGCTCGTAATTATGATATAACCCAGCAGACAACAGCACAGGAAGTGGGCCCTGGACCAAAGTTTGGGGCGTAAACGAAACAACTTTCTTAGTGGAGTGTGTAAAAGTATTTGCCCATTATCTATCTCTGGTGTACATGTTAAAAATGTAGCCTTTGGCTGCCAATAAAACCTTCAACGGGCCAAAGGTAGGACGAGTAAAGCCCCAGACCTCAGACCTCTTTTAGAAGTTGGCAGAGGAGTTGAGTTTCCCTTACGATTTATCTATTTCGGTTTATCAGCTAATAAACGCTTAAATAAAATACACACTCTGAGCTAAATTACATGCGCTTTGGCATTGGCTTTGGCTGTGGCTGTGCTGTGCTGTGCGGATCCTCAGGATGCTGCAGTTCTGCAGTTCTGAGACTGGGATCCCGGTCTTGTTTGGTCTGTTGCTGGTCTTGGCCATAAAAAGAATTGGCTGGGCCATAGATTTGCTCTGTTCTAACGACATTTGAAGTGCCCGAGCCATCTCTAATCTTGTTTGGACGTTTGTGTGGCTCTGGCTCTGGCTGTGGCTGTGGCTGTGGCTGGGTACCATCTCCATGTCCGGGTAGGGGTACCACCAGCTCTGCCAGGTCTCCCAAGCCTTTGGCGATTTGTGTTTGACCATGTTCATGATCACTTAATTAAAGCTGGCTTTCCTCTGGTTTCCTCAATCCATAGAGAGAGAGAGAGAGAGGAGTTGATTTTATGTTTATAGTATTGTGGTTGAGAATATTCTGTGATGCCTGATAAATTTATGTAGCCGCAAAATGAGCGTAATTTGGTTGGTTCTTTCCCCTCTTTTTTTCCGATTGACTCGGGCTCTAGCTCTGGCTCTGGTATTGGGTTGGGTTGGGTTCCCTTTTTCTTTTAAGGGGCCTTGTGGCTGACAAGCTGATATATGTGCGTGATAAATGTAGCAAATGCTGTTGTTCTGCTGCTTGCTGCCGACTCCTGCTGATTGGGAATCACGAATTGCTAAGCCGTCCAGCCAGTCCAATACCAAATGCAGTGAGGCAGCCCCAGCCCCAGCCCAAGAGCCTAATCTCTGGTACGTATTTCAAATTTCCAAATTATCAGCAGTCCCAACGAATCGAAGAGCCATTTATCTGATATGCGCTCTTAATAGCTTTCTGTGTACTGTCACGCTTTTAATTGTAATTGCCTGGGTTTCTATTATCTTGAGAGCAGTCAATGACAGCAGAAGTGGCTTTACAACCGATAGCCGATTAGCTTCGATTAAGAAGCGGATGCAGGCTAATTAATTGATACTTTCAAGTTTAGGATAAAGATCCCTTTTAAAATGTATTCTAATGGATACTTTTAGTATTTATACAGATTTTGGGAGCATGAGAACATGAATTCCTTCCGTCAAAAAGATTAATATTTTAAAAAGTATTGATCTTTACTAAATCGATATATTCCATATTATTATATTATAAAAATAAAACCTGAATGAATAGGTGGTTTTACGTTTCGTATTCTTTTTATGAATATTCAGATCATTGAAAATGTATGATATCATCTATAATTCTACCATTCGAAAGATCTATTCGATAACTGGCTGAATAAATTGATATTTTGAGTACTTTCAAAAGTATTTGGATCATTGAAAACCCATTCTATGCGCTCAAGCATTGACATTATTATTATTAAGCATATTCCCCGCCCTCAGCTAACGGCACACAAAACAGCTCTCATGGTAGATCGATCTGTGGCTCTACGCATGTGAATGGTAGATCTTATCGAAATATTTGTACAATGTCAAATAATTTTGAATGAAGGCCAGTCGCCGCCAGCGAGGCTCTACTATCAGTTGAAGTCGCCGTAGCCCCGCTGTTGTGTAGCCGAAATTCGTTGGATTTCTTAATCTCTCTTTCTCTCTCGATCAGAAACTGGCTCTTCGGTCTGGCCTGGCCTGCTATACCTCTTGAATGCTGCCAACGCTATCGTCGCCGTCATCAACGTTTGCTATAGCTGTGTCGCCGTCGCTGGGGTGATCTCATCTGGTATTAACCTGTCTGGCCAGTTCATCAAAGTCAAAGAAGCGAATGACACATTTCTGCTCGATCGTCCGAGCAAACATTCGGTTCTACGAGTATACAAAGACCCCAGGCAAACATATTGGAAGTCAAAATTAATGATGATATCTTTATTAAAAATAAATGCTGATAGCTGGAAAAATGGCACCACGCCCAAAGTATGCGACCGGATGCGTCAGGCGCATGATCGAATGCAATGACTCGATTAACAGTAGTTCGGAATGTTTTTCACATTTAAATACTGTGTATTCCTACTGGTTGCGGGTACACCCAGTAGTCAGGGGTTTATTGTGTACGGGAAGGTGTATGTAACAGCTAGAGAGAGGTGTTTCCGAAGCTTGTTTCGAAGCTTCGTTTAAGATACCCAGGGTACCGGGCATTGGCGAAACACTTGACCTATACCTTTCTCGTACATCATTTTGTAAGTCGGGTTACGTGCAATCGGCCTTTGATTGATTCCCAAATAGCAGGCGGCGCCCCATTTATTTGTGCGGCTGAATATTTTCGTACCATAAATCTTTCCTTAATCGATTAAAGCTGTGGCTGGGGCCAGGCCCGGGCCACGCCCACCTGCTGGTGGGCTAATCAATTAATTATACTTTTTCAATGTCAAACTGTCACAGGGACCAGAGGGTGTGGTGCGTTGCGTCCTCCTTGCTTCTGCTCCCTTTGGCTGGACGCATAAATCTTGCTGGCAGCGGCGCCAGTAACTTGCAACTTGCGCGCTTTATCCTGCGTCTTAACATTTTGTCTAATTGCGGGTTTTCTGCCGCCTCACACTGAAGGTCACTGACAGCCACAACGACTCGGACTCGGACTCGGAGTCGGAGTCGAAGTCGGTATCGGAGTCCATAGCCAGGCTTATGAGTGCCCCAGACATACGAGCATTCGCGCCTGGCAGACAATGCCGCCGCCGGCCTGTCTCCAACAAGCTGCGGGCCGCGAGGAGATTGGCTGCAGCCAGGCATACATATGTTCAGCTACCCGCATGCCCCCAACTGTTGCAGCAACTGCAACCAGTTCGCATGAAAATGCATAATCAATCAAAAGACAACAGAAACAAAGGGAGTGCCACGTTTTTGTAGTGGAAAATGGGATGCTCTTTTGACAGTTACATACCCTAAGAAGAATATTATTTGAACTATTCAAAAGTTTATATTAATTGAAAATTCTATGTCTTCGAGGGGTAGCATAAACCACAGACAAAGGCATCCTCAGTGACAATGGAGTTTAGACCCAATGTTAGGGTAGTGCCATGCATTCCAACACCCATTGACCGTATCATTGGTGCATCTTCATATCTGGGAGTCGCCTCCGACAATTCGCACGAATCGAATATGTCAAGGTGCGAGTGCGAGTGCGAGTGCGCATGCGCATGGTTTAGTGGCTGTCGCCTCGCACCATATTGCCAGCTCCAGCGGCAGCTCCAGCTCCAGCCTACAACTTGTTAACAATTCGTGTAAAGTTGCCGCTCATTAAAAACTCATAAATCAGAGCAGCGGAGTGGCGGAGAGGCGCAACAGAACATCCCGAAGTAATTGCCGTTGCTGGCCCAATGTCAAAATAAAGGAACTCGGAGCGGAGCGGACCGGACCGGACCGGTCGCCGGAAATGATCGACCACCGGGGTAACAGCTGTTTGGCAGCCCGCTATGTTGGCATGGCATGGCATGGCATGGCTTGGCACTAGTACTATTTCCGCATTGACATCCCAGATCCCAGAGTATTGGAAGTCTCTGGATGGGTCTTTGATTAATGATAAATGCGCTCAGCGCATCCGCCGCTATGACATTTATCCAGCATCCAGCATTCAGCATGCCTGAGAACGAGAACCCAGCCGAGGCGACGATGATGGCGACGGAGACGACGATGAAGAAGCCAAAGCCAAAGCCAAAGCCAACGCCAAAGCCATTAAGCCGCCTCGGAGGAGTTGCCGATGCAGTCCGTTGAAGTTGCTCAGGCGCACAATTTAAAGCAAAACTAACGCAGTTAGACAACAAAACCACTTTCAAGTGGTGCTGCTGTTGCGGAGCCCCCCACCGCTCGCCGCTCGCCGCTCGCCGTTCCCCGGTCCCCAGTCCCGGTCGAGGGAAACAGCTTTCTGGAAAACGGCTTTCAACTCGTTTCAGTTGCTGGCTGGCTATTGCTGTTGCTGTTGGTGTTGCTGCTGTGCCGTGGGTGCAGCCGTTGCATGTTGCATGCTGCAAGTACGTTCAACTTTTCCAGTTAACAGTTAGATTTTGAAATAGCCAACAGCAGCATCGGCATCGGCATAGGCATCGGC